ATCAACAGCAAAATATCTCAAAATTGACCCACAAATACAAAGAACCACTAAAGCTTCCTTATTGAAAAGTGTGGCTTTCATCTTAAGGTAGTCATCGGCCTTTGTGTCTAGGGTTTAAAATGAAAGGCAATTTAAAGAAAAATGCATGCCAGTTTCATCTTTTCTTTGTATTATATGGCAGACAAGTCAAAAGCAAAGCAGTAAATAAAATAAATAACTTCAATAGCTTGCTGCCTTTTGCACATCCTAAGATGTTCATGTACAGGCAAGAAAGAAGGTCAGCTGATTGATAATGATGAGCAGAACAAACATGATGAATGAGAATCGTTGTTTATTACTGTCACATGCGAGAAAAACAGATTTTTGCAGCAGCCAGAGACGGACTGTGAGGTGTCAGAATTTTTTACAATACAATATTGTTCACAACAGTTTGATGTCTGGTTTCTCCAATCTGCAGCATGTGAGTTAAAGGTACGGCTGTAAAAAAGATTAGTGTTTCAAGAAATGAAAATAAAAGGGCAGTCAAGCCATTTAACTTTCTTTATCTTTCTGTCTCTCCTCTCCAGACTCACACTTTATCCAGTGTGTGCATGCCTTTGTGTGGTTGAGTGGCAGAGCATTTAAGCTGTGAATAATATTTACATAGACCACTGTGGACCACCAACTCTGCAATGCTTACACAGTGGGTCCTGCACACACACACACACACACACACACTCAACTTACACTGAGGAATAAAACACAGAGAGCTGTCCAGAGAGATCAGCTCTTGTGACATAACCTGGTTCCAATCTTAAACAAGCAGTTGCAATGTAAGGCCAAGCATGTGATAGTGTGTGTGTTATTCATTAGCCTTGCTATTTTGGTGCAAACAGTCCTCACTGTCAACAAACAATAACACATCTTTTACCATCAGAACCATCCGAAATTCCATTAGGACACAAGGAAGGAAGGAAAAGCACATGTGCTGACCATAGGAGCATCTGAGTGTACCACAGCAGCCACTGCAGTATATCCCTGCTACAGTGCTGTGAACAAAACAGACATAATGTAATGCAACGTCAACATCTGCCAAACAGCAGGCTGCCAAGCCATATGTCCGATGTGTCTAAGCCTGCATGTCCAACTGGATAATGTTGGATCCTTTTTAGACTTTATCCAGCTCCTGTCCTCTTCTGCTTGCTCTAATTCGCTTTTATTTCAAACAAAATTCCTATTGTAACTGTAACTTCATCTTCATCTTCTCAAAGGATTTACATGCGCGCGCGTGTAACATGTAAATGTTAAAACCAGGGTTTACTCAAAATCTTCTTTGGTCTGGAACAATACCTCACATTAAACAAGTGAAATGCTTTGCTTTCACATGAAAACGTGTGAAAAGGGGTTCAAAAAAGGCAATTCAAGAATTCTGTGTCCAAACTTTATAAAGATAAAGATAGATTTGGATTAAAGTCCTAATATACCCTCAGTTCTAGCATGGATGCGGCATGAGAAGAAATAGACTTGGCCACAATCCCTGCCACTTTATTCTGTATTCATTTAAAAACAGCCAACAAGATGTGTATTTGTATGATTTCCAAAATGCCTGCACAGGTCTGCCAATTCTATTCCCTTTAAATTATTTTCTAATTTTGATGCAACTGCTCATACTACAGGGGCAGCCTCCCTGAACAGTGTAATATTTTAATTTCACCAAGTACCTCTGTTCTGTAAGAGAGCATATCTTTCATTTCCGTGTCTGGGTTCTTTAGCAGCCACATTGAGCAATACGGATATAACACTGTGGTATTATTCCCCAAAGGGAAATTCCCTTTTGGAAACAGAAACTTTGAAGCTGGTAGAGATGCTTACTGCTTAGGGATAGCTGATTGGAATAGATGATTGGTTGACATAGCAGTCTGCACCCAGTTTTAAGATACAGAAAGAAACCACTAAGCCTTTCCTTAAGGTTACCAATACAAGAGTCTTCTCATCAGCCAACCCTCAAAACACACAAAAACATTTTAAACATAAAGACCAGTTTTATTTAGTCTGTGGAAACAGATGTACAGTGTCTTCTGAGGCTCTGGAGGAAGCTGTTCTGATTACATCATCAGGGTTACCGTGAGCTGGATTAAATTTTTTTGACAGAAAACCTGTATTATAAACTGGGGGCGTGGAGTTTGAAAGACAAGGGCAACAATTGAAGACTTTTCTTTTTAATCTAAGCTTTTAATTTGGAGTAATGTTATAGCTTTAGTTTTTACGTTTTAATCAGTGGTTTTCAAAAAATTTTTGCCTGGTGTTTATTTTTTTATTCTTTTTATTTATGTTTAAAATTGTATTGTTTTTCTTGTATTTTTTTGCCTTGCCTATTTTTTGTTGAAAGACTATTTGGTTGTATTTATAGTATGGCTTATATATAAATATTTATATAAAGCAGATATTAGCTTTTTACAGTTATATCCATATCAGATTTTTTTAACTCCTAAATATCTATGTTGCATTTGCATAATAAATTACGGATGCACCGAAACCAATACCAGTATTGGGTCAGTCCCATATACTCAATATGGTATAATTGTAATCATGAAACTACTCTGATACCATATATTATACCACTTTACGGCAGCGTGAAGTTTACATAACCTCTTGTTAGTTGAGAAGGTAGACGGAGGAGAGGCAATGTAAGCAACTTTTATAACAACATTAGCAGCATTTCATTTGTTATAGAAAGTGAGGAACATCTGATAAAAGTAAAATGTCATTATTAGAACTGTAACGGTATTCTTAAGTACTCATATTGGTACTTGTGTCGGCAAGTACCTAAATGTCAGTACTTGTATTTGGTCTGAAATAAAGTGCTATTGGTGCATCCCTATCAAAAATCTAGTAGCAGTTGGGCTTTCTCTAGTAAGTCCCCCAAATGTATACAAGGAAAATAATAAATAACTGGAGTGCCCCTTTAATGTTGGAAGCATACTTCCCTGTCCCCTGTTTTCCTAACCTCCATTAACATTGAAAAAGTTTTAATGTATCCTCTGATATCCCCAACCTTCCCCAATTCTGTGGGCAAAAGGTTACCATGTCCGATATGTCTTTTTAGTAAAAGACCCAGCATGTCATTGGGGATTGCACAGAACATGATCACTCAGATATTCTTTTCATACTAGAAATGTACATAACATTTACTCTTGTTGCATCCCTGATAGGAACAGCAGTTCACCAAAGCAAGGTAGCATCAGATCCATATTCTACTCTTGTCGCGAGATGGGTCATTAAGGAAAGTTGGCAGGCCGCAAATTGGCCTATTCAGACAGCCCATCAACGTGGGTTTGACCCACATCACAGTGTCTGTCTGAATTTGGTATGAATCATCAACTCCCCTTCTTAGAGCTAGAAATCTTTTGTGAGAAGTAAATCCATCTATACATATCATGAAACAACTGTGCCTATCTAACTATTTATCTATCTGTCTCCATTTCCTCCTTTCCTTAAAACAACATGTCAAGATTCGCCTCCAAAAAGATACACTTCCACCTCCAGGCTGCGACTGCCATAGGCTTGTACAAAAACACACACACACACACACACACACACAAAAGATACCATAGCACCATGCAGGGCTGGATGCAGCAATTCAGCCACCATTTATAACCTACTCACAATCCTAGAAGCCAAATGGAAGATAAGAGGAGAAGAACACGTTTGCATTTTATAATTTTGCTTGTGTCTTTATAATCTCAGTACCCGGATTAGATTCCAGGTACACAGCAATGTATTTAGCAAACAAATATGACTCGGGTCCTGATTTTGTTTTTACACCACTCACCTCCCCCGCATAAGCAATGAAAAACATTGCAGTGGTTCATCTTCAAGTTCTTTTCATAGTGCTTGGATTTGGGTGCACATTATGTTCTTTTTTTGTCCGTGCTCCAGTGTGTTAAGACATCCCACAGATGAAAATTATCCAGGCAGGATGTTCAGCTGAGGGGTAATAATAGAAACCAAAACAGAAATGAGCCACTAAAAACTGATTTCATTTGGACTATTTGGCATCCCTGCATCAAATTAAAATGAATGATTTTTTAGCACAAAATGGCTGCCAGAACAATGTAAGCAGAGGGATACTGTACGCTCAAAGATAGCATTTAACCTGTACAAACGATTAATACTCAAACATACAGGGCAGGTTACTCTGAAATAATTAAGCACACCAAAACCAGAATTAAAGTAATCCCAGAAACAATGCATGGAAAAGGTTAAGACAGCTGACATTCATACATAATCAGTGGGAGGATGTTACCAAACGTGACCAGAAAAGAGCACGATTCCCTTCAGACTCTGAAAACATCAATATGGACAGAGAGCTCTCACTTACATTAATGACGATGATGCCTCGGTGCAAACATGTGCTGTGCAAGCACATAAAAGATTTGTCCCAATTTTGCCTGAATATGTATCTGGATCTACTTTTTTTAAAAGGGCCACAGGTCTGACTCAAACCCATGGTCGCCGCAGCGAGGACTCAACCTTGGTACATGGGGGGCCAGCTCTTCCAGGTGAGCTACCAGACAAACAATCCAAATCTCAAGCCAATGCAGGAGAGAAACTCAGCGAAAGTAACACCGACTCTTTTCTCAATGAACACGAGCTCAAGACAACGGTGACCTATTAGTCTTACAAATACAGCCACGCACTTCATTAGTAATCCCATATGCCCAAACAACGGTATCCTAAGGAGGTTTAACCACAGTGGTTGGACAAATGACCTATCAGATTTCACCAGTGTGGAGCCACAGTGTGCATGTTTAGTCTCAAAGGAACAAGCAAGTTGCCACTTTAATATAGCTAGCATCAAGCCTTAAGGAAGCAGCAACAGCTGACTAAACCATCAAGTTTTGACGTGTGTTTTGGGCTGAAAAGCCGATTAATGACATACCTTTTAACCAAGCGATGTGCATAAGCTTGGCAATAGTCAACACATACGGGAATGAGGACATATTTGGTCTTACCAGGTGTCACACTGAGTTAGGTTTCCAGCATATGAAAGGATATGGGTTACAGACGACACGAAGACACCAGTTGCGAGGCCTTGTTGTTTGCTTTAAGCAGAAGAAGGCCACGGGGGCCAGGGCCGGGTACGGCTGCTGCTCCTCCTCCTCAGAGACACAGTCTGGATCACGAATAGGAGCCCTGATACGAACTCCCAATGTTGGTCCAACTTCCACTTCCAGCTCCGGCTCCTGGTCTTCATGCTCCTGAACCTCAGCACTCCATTCTCCTCCACTACTGCCCCTCCCCTTCCTCTCCACCTCCTCCTCCTCCTCTTCCTCCTCGTCATGGCTTCCTCCAGGGTCAACATCCTGACCCGGGTCGTCCTTCCTATAGGGCGTCGGTATAGCGAGCCTCACCTGCTCCTGCACCACCTCCTGCTCCTGCACCTCCGGGCACTCTGCGTACTGAAAGCGCGCTCTCCCCTCGCCATCAGTCATGATAGAGCATCAGGCAGAGCCACTCTGAAGGGAGGTCAGAGGAAGAGAGGTTAGAGAGAGGTGGAAAGCGGGAAGGGGAGGGAAGATGGACGGCAGAGACGGAGGTATGGAGGGACGAACATTTGCGGAAGACGCAGAGAAACAGTGACAGAAAAGGAAGAGCAAAGACTCAGCAAAACTCAGCAAAGAGCAACTGGAGACAAATCACGCAATGAGCCAAATAAACACTCAGACCATTTCCTCCTCCGATCCCTCAGCAGCAAAAGTACTTGCTTCCAATCAATCCAGACACAGATTTTCAATATTCGTTTACTAACCTGGCAGCACCTGAGGCTTTTCACGAGCATTTATTTCAAAAAGCTCTTTGTCAACACTTCCTTTTCTGTGTGTGTCTCTCTCCACTTAAAAATGAACTATCCCTATGATAGAATGATCCCACAAAATGAAGAAATCCCTGTTGGAACATCAAATAAATGATATGATGATATATGAGATAAATGAATACAGCAAACTCACTATCATTACTATTACTATTATTGGCTGCTTCAGTGACTCCATATAGTTGGAGTCACAAAAAGATGCCCATTACAATAAAGTAATAAACTTCACAGTGTTATATTGTGATATTATGGGAATAGTGGGGATTTATTTTTCTCCTCGCTCTTCCTGTTGCTATGTGATTGAACAGATGGACTGCTCTGTCTCTGGTCTACTAGAGGATTTTAGCCCACACCACGCAATGGTGGGCAGGGAATGCGCAAAAAGAAAAAAACAAAATACACACAATAACTGCCACACTAATCCTGATTATTATAATAAGTGGAATAACATCGAGGGAAAAACATCAGTCTTCATAATCCAGCTAACAGACTTTTTTTGTTTTAAGGGCTTTATTAATGGGCTTTGTTGTCCATCGTTTTGCCGTTTTATAAGAAAAGCGCATCTGAAGGCAGTTGTATGCGCTCCTCAAGGGATTGTGTGACAAAGGGGGAAAAATGTTAAACATGCTCTCCTCAGAATAGCTGCTGAAAAGTACAAAGAGAATTAAAAAAAAACGGCTGAGGGAATGGAGCGCCCATCACCTGTGTGTTTTTGTTCAATAAAAAGTGGACTCAATTCTAGACGCGATCGATATTAAAACATCACAGGCAAACAACAACAACTTTATTCTTTTTAAATACCTTATCGAGACGGAATCGGAAGTTCCCATAAGCATGATCCGTGACTTTCCGTGTTTCTAGCGCACCCAGCCTTTCTCAGCAACCCGGAGCTTTCCTTCCTTTCTTTCCTCTCTTCTGTCTCCCCCAACAACAACAACAAAAAAAAGCCCTCCTTACTTCTATTGTTTTTCACAGATCAAAAGGTAATCCGAGAGCAGTTTAAAAAAAAAAAAAAATCACTGGAAGTAACCGAAGAATCACTTGAAGTGGTCTTCAATTGCGCGTTCGGTTAAACGGGAGCCTCTATCCACATACACGCATCCATCCATCCGTCCATCCTCGCTGAGGTGGTGGTTACGCAGCGTGGAGCGGAGATGCGCGCAGGAGTGTTCGGACCGTGTGGGTCGCCTTGCTTTGAAGCTCCGTGGACGATCTGACACGGAAAAAACTTGGCCCAGGACCCGGGAGCCCTGACACGTGACGTGATGCCCGGCTATAGGGACGTAGCGCGCGGTTGGAGACACACACGCGCGCGCGAAAAAGCCACTGAGAGCCAATCTGGGCGCGCACGCCCCGCGATGTTTCGTGCATCACTACTGCATGTCAGCAGCAGATAATAGGAAGGGTATGAATCATATATTAGCCCATACCTTGCGTGGGTGTAAGGGACGGGAACACGAGGGACCATTATTATTATTATTATTATTATTGTTTCCATGATATTCCATTAATATGTAGCCCACAGTAAGATTAAGTGCTTCTGTAGAGAAACATTAAATTGTACAAAGGGAGCTAAAGTAAGGGAGGTTAATTGTGTCTATAGGTCATATGTCTACATATATATTTCCCCAGAGGTTAACAGTTGGTATTTGTTGGGTTAAATGGACGGCTTTGCGTTTTTTAACTACACCTTGAGATGTGTGTCACAGACAGGGGTCAAAGTAATGTATGTCTGCAAGGAGGTTTTGAGCAGTGGCCACAGTTGTAATTACAGGACACTTGGGCCAAAACACTCTTTCCCCGTACACAAAAAGAAACTGCTAATGAAGAATACTTCATTAGCAGTTACACTGCCATACACTCAAAATGATTTTGTGACAAAGCTTTGTTATGCCATGCTGCTATGCTAAAATATTTATGCAATAAAATCACTTGAGTAACAGATCCATGCCCACTCCTGATCTGCATGGTCAGACAAGCAACTTACGGCTCAATATTCAACCTATTTTATTTTATATCACCACATCTGGGTTAGTCGGATCCAGTCTGGATCCTTAATCCGCTCAGGAACCAGGCTGCTGTGCCAGTGGACTCCAATCTGGACCTGAGTTGCATATCCGTTCTGGGTGTTATGATACCGCCACAGCTGAGCAGGTCCAGAGTCAGTTTATGATTTATATCTGGGATTCATATGTGAGGGGGGTCAGCAGGAGGTCACCTGGCAAGCCAGAAAAGGACAGTATGGGCCAAAAACCACAGACGCCTGAGGAAGTCTGAAAACTTTTTAGGCACATGTATCCAGTGAAAAACTTGCATATTTTTTTTGGCAAGATTTTAAAACAAAATGAGAGAAAACGCACAAAAATGCCTGCCTGCAAGCCTCTACATCACTAGAGGCTTGCAGGCAGACACAGCCACACACAGAATACAATGCATTTATTTAAAATTGTTTATGCATTTACTGATCAATATTATCATTCATATTGTGTTCAGCACATTTGTCATGGTTCAGTAGCTGTACGCAACCAGACAACTGCTGCTTCTGTGCCGTCAACGTCTTTATAGACGAGTTGATTTGATGATCAATTCAAGCTCCCATGTGGCCTGGGTGATCCATCACAAATACATACACTATATTTAATGAAGAGTGTTTTAGTGTGACAAAGGGAGAGAGAGGCAGAACAGCAGAGAGTGGACGAGGCCGCATGTTGGACGGAGGTTTTATAGTGGGGGCGGGGCATTTTAGTGCTATTCTGTAAGGGCCAACCCTGCTGACAGCAACACCATGAGACAGATCTGCCAGAAACTTGACATTAATTGACATCAGGAATAGTGGAGACTGGAATCAAATCCCTCAGGGTTCGTTTAGATCCGACAGCTGATAGGATGAGAATCCCATCAGTCAAACATCACGGTCACAGGAAAAGTTGCATGTCTTTCAGACGCAGCGAGTCTGTGGCAGATTGTGGCAGGGAAGTCATCCATGTGTTCCTGGTGAATCGCTCACTCTGGCACTCCAGACTAACACAGGAAAACCAATAAAACTGTTTTAAACTACCAGTGCTGCTTTTGTTCCCACTAGAATCTAAGGAGAGGGAACGGTGGAAGACTCCAGCTAAAAGTCACGGCACAGAAGAAATATGAGCCCACATAGCCACTCTAGCCACTAAAACATGAATACATTAGGTAGTCTGAGTTAACTTACTGAAGCAAAATAACTATATATTTGACATTTTTATCAATAAATAATAAAAAGATCAAATAACTGAATTCTTATGAGGTATTGTGTGTTAATAACAGCTCTACAGTCCCTGTCCATGTGTCTGGAGCATTCTAGTTTGGTTGTTCATATAACAATAGTGATTTATTAAACCTGGTACAGGATGTGATATTTATGAATGTTAATGTGCAAATGAAATAGTGTTAAGTTAAAGATCCAGTGTGTAACATTTAAGAGCATCTACTGGCAGAAAAAAGCCTGAAAATAAGAATTGTGTGTTTTTATAACTTTAGAATAAGTAGTTTCTATCTACACTCTGCCATGTTTCTCCTACACTGCGAGCTGTATTCAGTTGGTTGCAATCTGCAACTTCACTGCTAGATGTTTTTGTGCTCCAATAACTTATTCTACTTTCTTGTCTTTATTAAAACCAAAGGCTAAGTAGTAATGTTAGCTGAATCAGACCAGATATGCAACTTCAGGGCTTCCCAAGCCACAAGTCCATCTCCCCTAATTTGAAATGCCAGTACTCAGTTCCTTGAACACTTTGTCAAGACACCAAATGGCTCTAAACCCCAAATTCATTAAATGCCCACATAACAATTCCCAAGTCAAGATCTTCAGGATGACGGACTCTCCGCCGGGTTAGAAAAGGTTTAGTCAACCAACCTTTTGGCAGCTGTGCTCTTTGATTAATGCAGCATGTTACAATAAGATTTGTTGTAACCACGCTGCCACTAACTTGGTCTTTTATTGAACAGGATTGCCCTGAAGCAATCTTGCACCGTTCACAGATCACTCTAAAGCATCAGCTACGCTGGAACAAACTGAATAAATGCTGGGCACGCGGATGTGAGGCTGCTGCCAACCTTGTCGTTGCACAAGGCTAAGCAGATCAAAATAATAATTTGCCAAAAGGTTGATGTTCTCCTTCCCTTGGCAGTGGAGCCGTGTCCCCGAAAGCCAATTAGGGAGTCGTTTGAAGTAGTGAAACTGAAGGGACAATGGAGTCACTCAGGTTTTGCTCAGAAGGGGTGAACAATCTGTTAGAAAGGAAGACAGTCTGTATTTTGATGGTCATGTAACATAACTAAAGCGATGGTCTCTTTCTAATTTTAGTTCATGTAGCAGTGACTAATACAAACGGTATGCTTGAGCCCTCAGCCACGCTGAATCATGCTTTCCCGTTATCTGCCTGTGGAATTGGACATTATCTAAAGTAATACCCATCAGGACAAGTTGCGGAAGTAATTACAGGACTTAAATGCTCTGTGTGTGTTTGTGTGCGTGCATTCACTCTCAACTGTGTGCAGCGAGCTGACCGAGAGCTCCGCACATACCCCTCTGACACCTGTCTCTCTCCCACCTGTCTGCCCCCCCACCAACCACCCGCCCCTCCCGCCCCTCCTTCATCATGTTCGGAGTTGGAGCTCATATCCTCATTACCATAGGCTTGGCCCCAAAATGTCTCCCATGAGGCTCTTGCTCATTTTGGCTCCAGTTTCACTCCACTCTCAGCTGTGTGTACAAAGCCTGAAAGCCTGGTATGAATTTGCTCAAGGCATCTCTTACTAAATTGTTGTCGCTATACCAACCCTCAGCAGCACATTCTGCCTCAGGGAGGAAAAGTATCTGATTTTCTCTGCTCGCCTCTCTTTTCTTGCACAACAAAGTCACTCCTGAACTTGCAACTTAACTGCGGACTTCAAAACAATTACATGTACACAATGTTATGGCTTTATAAAAGAAAACATCTCTCTTCACACATTATTTTTATTTAATTTATACTATGCATGCAGTATTGCCACCAGTATAAATCAATAGGAACGTGTGTGCTTCCCACAGATATTCAATAGTCCTCCGTCAGCCTGCACTCTCTGCCTTCCACTCCCTGGCTTTCCCAACCACTTCCCCATCCCCCCATCCCATCATCATCCATCCTTTCCTCCACTCTGACTCCCACGCTTTCATCATCCAGCCTTTTCTTCCTGCTTTTCTCATCTACTTCTCATCAGCGACCATCACTTGATCTCACTATACAGTGGAAGAAAGGGGGAAGCCGTTGGACACGCACAAAGTAATAGGTTTTTTTTTCATGAATCTGAAAAACGAGGATCCAATCAGACATAGACACTGATGAGATGAGAAGTTATCTGTTTTTTTTTTCTTAAACATTGCACTGTAGTTTGGAAAAAAAAAAAAATTCACGTAATGAATGATTAGGTGTGTCACGTTTGGTTTCCATTTCGTTAAATATTAGAAAATGTACAATGCATTACATAATGGTATGAGCAGTGAGAGCAAAAATGGCTGAACACACAAAGAAAAACTTATTTGACAGAAGCTTCAAGGATAATCACGTCTACGTCCTGCCCGCACTGTTTGATTGACAAGTGATCTCTTGAGATGTGCAGGCCAGAAACACAAGAAAGACATCAAAGTCGTCTCCAAAGTAATGAAGAAAAGTGGAGGAATTAGTTCTCCATTTCAGCATTATCTTGGTTTCTCTCCGCTCCATCTCACCTTGTACTTTGAGCCATCTTAGTTCAATGTATCTATATCTGTCCCTCCCTGTCTCTAGGGAGCTGTGGTCTTCTCATTAGGCCTACTGACATATGTGAGTAGGGGGAGACCCTGCATTTCTTACTTCAAGGGGCTTCCCCCTAGCAGCAGCACAGGCAATTCTATACTGTACATGTGCAGACACGAGTGTGCGTCACGAGTGTATTGCACAAAGCCACTGAAATATGCATTATTCTCAATATATTATTGAAATCAAGCTAAGAAAAGTACAGAGATACACAAAGAAAGTGAAAGAGAGGCTGCCATGGTTATAAAGAGGGAGAAAAGGATGAAAGAGACTTTTTTGGGGGAAATGTTTTTTATCCCTCTTTCTAGCTGTGTGCCAAAGTAATCATTCTAATTAGGGTATTGGAGAGGGGAAAATATCTGTGCATTCATAAACACAACAGGAGCAGAGGAAACAGTTACATAATCACACACAAACACCAGCAGACCACTTTATGTACACACACACACACACACACACACACCAGTA